GACGTCTATGTTAAGCGTAGATTCTATAATTTCAACGAAATTGTGAGAAGTTTTCCCAAAAATATATACTCTATCTTTACCAGGGCACAACGATGAACATGTGAAACATTTTGAGCTCTCATCGACAAATTTCTCAGTTCAATGTTTCTCCCGACATGATAGCTAGATCATATGCCACATCCATATTTTCGCGTGAAACCTTACGTCATTCAGATTTTCTGGTAGGTGATTGGTCTGTTCAATAGACCGCGAATAAACCGCAAGGACAATGAGAAAGGAATGTAGTTCGGTTGTCAGCAGCCGTTCTTTTGGGGGAGCGTTGCGGGACATCCAAAAGCAACGGTTGCGAGGGAGACTAATGTTATACTTGAAGTTCTCAGAAGAATTATTTGATTAGAAGAGTCATACATATCCATTACAGGCGGGAAAGGAAAAAGAGAGTTGAAGCAAGGAAGGCAGAAACAAAAGAAACTAGTCAATCAAATGAAGAAAATGTGGAAAACGAAGGAAGCATTTTATCAGCTCAAGAAACAGAAGTGGAATTTAAAGGAATAGGTGGCCAAGGTAGTTCAAAAAATCAAGAACTGAACACAAGAGACGAAAGTTTTCAAGCTTATCGACAACAGGAATTAGAAAAGCTGTTGGAGGATGATACAAACAGTCGAGTTCTAGAGGACAGCAAAACTGAACCAGGCCACGAAGAACAGAAAATATGTGGCGAAACGATCCGAGATAGCAAATCTTTGGAAGAATTAGACAAAATAAATGAAAACTTGCCGAAAAGTGAAAGCGTCCTGACGAGGGAAGATATGGAAAACGCAGAGATTAATTCTGCAAACACCCGAGGAATGACGAACAGTGGAGCTATTTCAGCTCCTGAAGAAGAAGAAGAAGAGACTGGCACAAAACTTGTTCAAGAGACTGGCACAAAACTTGTTCAAGACAACCACAAATCTAATGATGTTGAAGTAGTTTCAAGTAACGGAGAAAGGGAAAGTATCGTCACAATGACAAGAGATCAAACAGCAATGGATATTGAAGTTAACTCAGGAAATGAAGACAACGCAGAATAATAAAAGCGATTCCAAAGAAAAGCAATTGCAGGCTAAGGTTTGAAGTACTAGTCACAGGAGACAACTAACAAGTGTAAAGCTAATCAGTCATTAACATCAATCTTGAAACCGTAAGCAGTAGACTGTTTGGAAGTTGTGTGAAAAAAAAATTAAATACATTTACATCTGAAAATAGGCGTTTTTCCTGCAGAGTGAAATGAGATTCCCTCTTATTTGGACGGCTCAGCCTTCGCCACAAAATGTGTTCATGTGGTAAGCAGTCCGTTCCTCTCCTTAACGACTTTTCATATCTAAGTTAAAAAGATTTCAGGAATTCGACCACAAAAATATTTACTCCACTTCAAATGAGTTCTGCCGTAGATCCGAAAACTTACCCTCCATTTGATTAAAAATGCGTCTATCTACCAAACTAAAAATTACAGATATTGCTTAGTCTTGTCGACCGCCCCCTCCACCGCCCCTCACGTCCCTCTTAAAGGTTACCCTTAGAAAAGTCTTGAAGAACCCTTAGAAGTAGTTTACAAATGAACGGCTAACATAGGACTTGCTCGCTCGCTCGATGACGTGATAGCGCAAATTACTCTCTAAGAGTAACCCACATATACTTTCGCCTTACAGTATCACCACTAAGCCAAACATTAAGTTCACGAGAAGAAAAAAAATGATCGCCTGCGGAAAACGTTCCTTCAAGGAAACACATTCTCCTTGTCATTATCATAGGAAACATATACAGTGCAATGTGGATAATATGTACAATAATGTTTGGCTGTAAAACATCGAGTCACAACGAATATTCACAAAGAATTGCAACAAAAGGTAACATCAGAGCCCAGAAAAATTATTCCTTCTGTGATACCGAAGTCTCTATCTCAGGTAAGATAGAAAAGACAACGCAAAAATGGGCAGGTCGTGGGTAGGGTCAGATGAATAATACCAGCAGAATTTTGGTTCTAATGTTATATTCAGAGCATCGAGCGTAATAGCAGTATAATGCATACATTTAATTCCAAAAACATTCTCTAGGTACAGGCACAAGAAATGGTTCCGCGTAAAAGTTCGCCCATATCATAAAAAAAGTAAATTCATTGTTGGAGTCTGAACTGAGTAACTATGTGAGTCAGCAATTCAAAGAACAGTGTCGGTTTCTCTACGCCAGTCTGCAAGGTCCATTAGGCCTTAAAGAGCTTCCTGGCGCACAAATTATGGTTTATTTTTATAAAATAAAAAAAAAAACAAAAAACCACAAAGTTGATGAAAGGAAGTTCATTAATTTATGTTGCACTTGATTAACTTTATAACAATACTTGAGTGAGTGGGTGATACTTAGGTCAACATTGGCTTGTCTTACTTTCCACAAACATCTGACAAACAGCACACAAGAAGCTCCTATAGCACGGATTTAAGTTTGAAGTTTCAAACGCACTAAAGTTCTACCAAAGGTTTGATCACCATGAACGCAGCCTAATTAAACAACTAATGCACCAAGTGCCAAAAAAAAAAAAAAAACACTGAAAAGTACTTTCAAATGATGCACAGCAAACCCTCTTCTTTGCTAGTTTTGAAGTAAAGGTATATTTTTGTAAGTGACCAGTCATAATAAATCGCGTGGAGGGAGGTATGAAGGATTTTTCTTGGTGGAGTAGGATCACGTGGTTTTATGGGGGAACAGATGGGAGATCAGTCGTCGCCAACAGACTATAAAGGGGTGGGAGTGGCGACTGTAGAAAATTTACCAAAGATTAACTGACTGACGCCCAATGAGGGGAGAACATAAGAATATCAAGTAGACTTATGGGGGAGAGGAGGAAACAGATAAATTCTATCGTGACACGTGACACAACCAAACAACACTCAATTTCCTTCCCCCCCTCCCCACCATACGATAGATAATGACTAGTCCTTAAAGTGGGGGGCACTGCGGGCTCATTTTATGATTTGAAAGGGATCTAAAATCCACAGAGATGAGATCAAAAATCCTGTTTTTTTATTCGTAAATGAGGTTTTCCTCTAAATGGTAACAGTGACTCTACCAGTAACGAATATATTGAAACTATATCTGAGGATTAATTAATGAATCATACAACTTTCTTCCATTAGCAAATAAACAAATACAGAAAGCCTTACTACTGTTATCTATCAAACTGTTTAAAATATATGTCTGCGGTTTGACGTTAGAAGGTAACGGGCCCGAGTTTGGGAATCACAAGATCGTGTAAATTCCCATTGCATTTAGCAAAAAAAAAATTCGCATTGAGCAAAACGGCCAAAAAGTGGCAGCCAGAGGTATCTTCGCATAAAAGATGATCAAGCAGAACTCCGCGTTAAAAATTTGCAAGTAGTAGAAAGCGTTTCTAGATCTATTTTGACCGATGAAGTGCAAAAATATACTGGATTTTGACGTTAGAAGGTAACACACCCTTTGTTTTGTGTCATAAAGCGTACAAAACTAACTCAAAGCAAAACAGCTAAATCTTGCATGAAACTCAAAATGGTCTGTATAAAATTTGCAAGCTTACTGATTTGCGCACTCAGATAAAATTCTGGTGAAAACAACATACTTCGCAAGTCATACAACAATTGCTACGAGTTAAGCTACAATAGGCGGAATGCTAACAAGAACCAATTACGAATGGCATTAATTTGCAGACCTAAGTTTTATTTGGCAAAAGATGACAACTTTGTAATAATCTTTATAATGGGCCATTTATCTCGCAAATCAGAAGCGTGAACCACGTTATTTAAGCTGCATAAAGAGGTTGGTCTGAAAAAGACCGTCTCATCTTATTGCTTCCTGAACATTCTCTTTGTTGATGGCACCCAAAAAAGATGCCTTTTTTTTTTTCTTTTCTCAAAAACTCAATTATTGCCTACCGTTGTCGTACCATTCATTAACTGCCTCCTTGCAGCATCGGACAAAGACATGTTTTTATCACACAAAATCACTTAAGCGTTTATGACACAAACATAATTGTTTTATAGCAAAGTCGTCTGCTATTTGGGAATACTAATGTTATGTTACTTTTGAAAACAATTAGATTTCCTGATATGAATTTTTTACCGATGTCGATAGCTATGTTGATCATGCCAAATAGTGCCTCTGTGTTATAATTTAGTATTCCATTTAGATACCGACGAAGGGATTCATTTTCATGCGAAGGTTGGCTAGCTCCGGAGTTTGAAGTCGTCAAGTTTATAGTACTATTTTTGCTTCAGTAAGCTTGCCTATTCATTTCTGAATGACCTCTAAGTAATGTCAGAAAGAAACAAGTGCTTGTTTGTATCATCCGTTCAAAAGACAGACACGTAGGTTAGATCCTCAGCCATGTTAGCTGAATTAAAATTTTGATGCCGAAAAAACCCTTGCTCATGAACAGCATTTTGAGTTTCAATTCGGCAGAGCTATGAACTATCGTTAGGAATTACTGAATCTTGTAAAACTGCCACAGAGCAAAACAGCTATATTTTTAGAGAAAACACTAATAATCGGTGAGCGGAAAGGGCCCGCCGAGGAAAGATCGGCGAGCAGAGCTTTCTTTCTACCAACAATATGCAACATTACTTATTTTTTTGGCGCCATGAACATTTAATTTACAGAAAGCATTTCTAATTTGGTCAATGAAGTGTAACAGGTCTAAAAATATAGTTATGGTTTGATACTAAAAAGCATCACGTCAACAACACAATAAAAACGGCTACATCTTGAAAGAAACTCGTAATTTGTTGAAAGAAGTTTCAAGATTACTGATTTCCGTACTCAGATTAATTACTTGCAAAAAGCAATTTTACTTTGGAAGTCACGCATCAAGTATTGCAAGCTAAGCGACAGTAGGCGAATAGTCCCAATAATGGCCAATTACGGATGGCATTTATTGACAGACCTAAAAAGTTCCTTGGAAAAAAGATGGCAAGTTTGAAATGATCTTCACACTTGGCCTTTTATCCTGGAAGCCACCTTATTTTAGCTGCATAAAAAGCTAAAACGACGAAATCCGTGACATTTGGTCTGAAGTAGTGTCTTTTTAATTACTTCCTGAAGTATTCTGTTTGCCGATAGCCCTTGATAAACAATTGTTTCTTTTTTTCAAAACTCAATCGTTTTCTACTGCTATTGTACACTCTATTAACTCCCTTCATGAAACACTGGACAAAGGCGCATTTTTAAACAAACGTATATGAGACAGATATCATCGTTCTGTCAGTTTTCCTGATGTTAATTGTTCATCGATGTCAATAGCTATGTTGATCATACGAAAAATAGTGCCTCTGACAACTTGGTATTCCATCGAGATACAGATAACTAATCCATTAAGACACAGACAAAGGGTATTATTTTCATGTGACAGTTAGCAAGCTCCGGAGTTTGAAGTCCTTCATACTACTGTTTTTGCTGCAGTAAGCTTGCCTATTCATTTCGGAATGACATCCAAGTAATGCCAGAAAGAAACAAATGCTTCTTAGCATCACCAGGATCCTAACAACTATAGACCAATATCTGTAATCCCTATAATTTCCAAAGTTTTTGAAAGAATTGTTTACAATCAACTTTTTCGTTATCTAGATGATAA